TCTTCCAATTCGCCTGCCTAGGGCAAACATTTCCAATTCAGCATAAGAATCTGGCACAATAAATGGCAAGTACAATATTGGGGTTGATGGCTTCTCCATGTCATGTCATTTCGTTTGTGGCTGGCAGGTAAACATTTTGACTAATGCCAAGGAACCACTTAAATGCCACCTTCAGTTGTTTGATCTAGGAGTCCCAAATATCCTAATTTCCAAGTGTTATTTTTATCAGAACCACACATCCATTACAACATTTTAATGTTTTAAGACCCTTGCAGAAAATATTATTTCAGTCAAAAGTTTACAACTCATTGCTTTAAAGGATATATATTCCTCATTAGCATCTCTAGTAAAGTTTATCTAGTTATAAGCTTAAAGGCGTTCTCCCAAAAGTTGTCTTTCTTTTGCAGTTATTATATAAGTCGGAGCGGTCCGGATCGGGCTACTATGCTGTATAGCTCCTGCTGAAGTTTGCTTCCCTCCTTGTTAAAAAAGTAAGCCGTTCCTTAAAATCCAAATATTTGTTTACTCAATGAACTTTTTTTATTAGAATTTTGTATCTTACCAATAAGTCTCTGAAAATATTTCCATTTGATTCTCAACTGAAATTCCTTTTAAATATTCAGTTAGAAAGTGCTAAGACTAGAAACGGAAGCAATGCTATCATTATGCAACAAGTTCGTCTAAGAAAATGCTTCGGGTGGGCCTTGTTCATGTGGGAAATGTAAATTTTGGCTTACCACAACATGAACAAGACTTGAAGAGGGACTTTCTAGCCGGCAACCCTTGGCCCCTTTGCCTTGGGCACATTTTCCACTGTTAAGCCAAAAAGGCGAAATGTCCTTTGGGAAGCGGCAGCCGTTGAAAGCTTATAAAGTGCAACGGCATTGCGGCAGTGAGCGTGTGCTTGTGTGTATAAGGCCGCTACGTGACTGTCCTGTCAATTTCCTAAATGCAAGGCTGAGAGGGGTTGAAAGGGGGGTGGAAATTGGGTTGAGCAGTGGCCAATGGCGGCCAAAAGCACCGCTAAGCACTGCTGATGAAGTCGCGTCCAAAATGCAACGCGGCAATTTGGCAAATTGAAAACATGAAACTAAAGGTGCTGACACAGCCAGCTCAGCTGCCGAGCTACAAACTAGCCGCAAAGTTAATTTACCCGCTCCTCGCGATCCTTGAAAACACCCCATTTCCATTGCACGCACGTCATGTAATGGGCACTTCCGCTTGCAAAATGGCAACAATATGGGTGGGGTGTTCGAGAGCGATTGTGTGCGCTGGCCGCCACTAATTCCGTAATTTCAGGCATGATGGCCCACTGCACTGCCACCACACTATATGAATCACACTGAAAGTCTTAAGTGGATTTGGTAATTTTAATAAATTGTTAGAGCAACTATTAAAAGATGAAATTTTATGTCGTTTTCTCAAAAAAATTAAATGGGTGAACGTTAAATTAAGCTTACATTTGTTAGATAAATAGCTTATGTGTAAGAACATAAGGAACTCTCCCAAAATCTGAACATTAAATACTTTAGTTGTTTAAATACCAAATAATTTGATACCAAAACCAATCATCCAATCCGGCTTTGACTTATATGCAGTTGTTTAGTCAAAAATAATAGATTTTGACATAGATTTATACATAACCATTATTGTTGATAGTAAGAATTAATAAATGTTATACTTGTACTATGGGGAAGAAACGATTTAGTGTTTAGAAATAAAAATTAATTTTTTGATTGTTTCGAAGTAGATAAATCTTTAATTAGATGGGTCTCCTATTTTGTATAGGTTTTGTGCGAGTGCCCCTCGTTGTTTGCCTTCTATTTATGGTCGCCGTTGGTGGCTGAACGTGGATAATGTTGGGTGCAGGTGATTTGCCCTGCAGTGCAGGTGGGCAGCGGTGACCACAGACCCCGTTCAGTCATTTGCATGTCCCGACTTCGGAGAGTGACGTGGCCTGCACCGCAAAGCGTCCTGCAGACTGGAACCTGCAACCTGCTACCTGCATCCTGCAAACCGGTATCCAAACCCACGGAACCTGACACGTTTGTGGCGCACTTTAATTAAAAATAACTACTGCCGCCGGGTAAAAGTACATGACCAGCGAAGCCAACTTACACATATTTTTTAATTAAGGCAAATATGAGTGGAGCTCTTCATGCAATGTCTGTGTGCATTTGGCTGATTTGCCTGTTGCAATTTAAAATAAAAACCGCCGAGCTTAATGTGAGCTGCAGTCGCAACTGTGTATATTGCATGGCAGCGAAACATTACCAACGGTGTATAATCAAGGGTTTTTAATAATAATTTTAATGGTTTCATGCCGCAAAATGTGCTACATTTTATACAAAACGAAGGCTATAACTGAGGCGATCCTTAGCTTTGCCTAAACTATTTTCTTATATTTTTAAAAAACAAACACTACACAGATGGGGTCAATAAAATTATTACAAAAATTTGTTTATCAGGAGTACAGCTTTTTACAATAAAATATAGAGCATTAAATACCTTTCAGCTAATTTCTGGGTTTTTTCCAAAGCCTGGGAAAAATAACTAAATAGCTGTTTATAGAAATCCAACTATATTGCGCCCACATGTGGACTTTACCATTTTGTATGCCATGATGTCGGTTATTTCCTCTGCTCATTTCCGGATTCGAGTGCGTGACGGCGGAGCAATGCATACTCCCCATTATTCATCCTAATTTGCCGCTGCTCATGACCATCTCTAATTGCTCCGGTTGAATTTGGAAACAAACTATCTGCAGAAGGCATCCGGGAAACCACAGCGACACTGCTCTATTTCAAATTATGCAAATGTTGACTTGCTTGATGGACAGGCAGTGGGATGACGGCATTGTCAATTCCACAAGGATTTCGGAGGGGGCTTGCGGGAAGGGGAAGGCTTCAGTGCGCCGCTTTGCGGCATCTAAACGCTTTGGCAAATTCTGATTTTGCATGGGCTTAATTACGTCTAATTGTTTGCATTTTGCAGCGGAATATTTACATTGCGCAGGCAGTTGGCAGAAATTTCAGTTGGCACGCCATGTTGGACTAATGCAAATTTGGTGAATTTATAAATGAGTTTCATGCTAAACAAGAAGCTTGCTAGTTGCGTTTTTCGTTATTTAAACTAATTGAAAGCAATATAAAACTTGAGCAAAACTTGTTTAAAACTATCTTGCAGTCTTTTGATACTGCACATTTATAAATAGTAATAAATCTCTCAGGTCATGTAACTTGAATGCAATTGTGTAACTGTAAACCCTAAGTTCGCAATTTTAAATATAACCTTTGAAGTAAAAGTTTATTTAGTGACATTTAATTCACTAAAGCTTTCGTTACCCCTTCATTTGATCAACTTAATTGTACTTCAGGCCAGCGCAAATAAGCTTACAATTTCAGTGGCTTGCGGAGCTGGTAACTTAATGTTCGATTTATGCCAACCGACCGAGGTCGACTGGCCATAAAAGGGGAGCAAAAAATTTGTTTGCCAAAGTGCGCATTAAACTCTTAATCTTTAGTGTTGACATTAAATTTACAGAAGCAACTAAGCTGAGCACGAGGAGCGACGCCCACAAAAGGCGGCGAGAACAAAGCAATTTCACAGGCCACCCCAGGACATCAGGGCAAACACGAGCACTAAACCCATCTGCAGAGCGGAGTTCAGGAATTTATTACCCAATTTTAAATTGCAAACGAGTGCGTGATAAAGTCCTGGATACTCTTGTGGGTCTCCTGGGCGCTTCTCCGGGTCTCTTCTGTGTTTTATTCAAAACACCATTGTTTATGTCCGAGGAGTGGACAAACAAGTGCAGTGCAGACTGCATGCAAAGTCAGCCGTGGTCGTGGTCAAGGTGCCTTTAGTAGAGGACAAAGGAGCAAACTGGACTGCATGTTAAGAGGAAAACTGTTGGCACACTTTGAAGCTGCTTTATGACGAGCAGATGAGATTGGCCCGGTTTTATAGACCATACTATATTTCGATGCAAGTTCCAAGTTGCAATTTGCAGGTGGCACGTGGCAAACGCCGAAAGTGTTTACCATGCAAATGTCGAGGGGCCATTTCAATGCAAATGTGCACAAATGGCAACGTTGTTGCACCCCATCACCCTCCCCATTTTCATTTAAAACATATTCCTTTTTTGTTTGCGGCACTATGCTCTCGGAAATGTGAATGCAAAACCGCCTTTCGAGTCCTGGCTTTTGCATTTGACGTCGGCTGAAATTACCTATGTCCCTCCCTTCAAGCGGTGGTCATAAATTTTTGTCCCATTGAAGCATTTAAATTTATTTCCATTCCGCATTTGGGTCGAGATTTCAAGAGATTTCTCTACTCTGCAGCGAATTTATTACCCGCAAATAAATTCCATGCGATACATTCACATTTTCGGAATTGAAAAGCCAGGCGAGAAGGACTCTTAAGAGTGGAATAAAAAAAGATCTAGATTCGGCATTTGTATTGAGAACAAACTGTGATATTTATGTTTCCCTCTTTTAAGTCACAAAGAAATGTTGGGAAATGCAACATTCCTTTTTTATGTGATTGGTTTTAGATTGTTTATATAAATGCATAGCTATTGGTTTTCCATGATGATCAAGGTACAGTATTTTTAAACGCAATTTTGAGCCTCATGACCTTTTCCGCGAAACTCTAATACTTTCATAAAATAGCTTTTAACTTTTAGCCATTTCTAAGCATTAAATGAAAAATCTCACTTAAAGTCCTTGGCAAACTTCCTGGCAACTCATTAATTTTTAAACAACTGATAAGAAGATCCGTGGCAGAACCATTCGTTCCGCACTCAACGTTAATGGCTTGGCCAGGCCACGCCCCGCTCATCTAGAATTTCGAAAGCGATTCCCTTAATGGCAGCCAGCCATTAGCCTCAAGTGGCAATGTGGCAAAGTTGCGTCTAAACTTTCTATTTGTTCCATTTAAGCTGGCCCCTAATCCGCCATCAAATAGTAACTTTCTCCGGTCTGCTTACTGTTTTGCAGGTCGCTTCAATCAAAGGGAAAAATCAACTGTTAACCGGCGAGTGGACGCATTTAAAGCCATCGAAAAAGACAAACAAGAAGGCAGGCGTGCATGAAGTGAAATCTGGCGGCTAACCGGCCGACGAGTCTGGGCCATCATCAATTACCCCCTATCCTCGCACCTGGCCATTAAAGTCAAGGAGCGAGTGGCGAAAGTGTGTGGAGCAACAAGTTGGCCGGGCAAATCCCAGGACTCCAGCACTTCGGGCCCATAAGTGGGCGGGAGTACGTGACTTAATCAGCGGACGCAGCAGGATCCTGAGCCCGGCTAACGAGGCGGCCGGAAGAGGGAGGAGCAGGATTTGCCCGCTATGATTTCATCCATGGCACAGTGAGCAGCAGCAACATGACAGATGTGTCATCGCCAGCTGGCGGCCCCGCAGCTCCGGTTGAAATAACCACCAGCAGCACTACAACACCGCTGACCAATGGCGCCAACAAGACGGTCACGTCGACGGCAGCTGGAGCAGTCCCTCCAATCCCCTCCAGCAGCTCCGGTGGCAACCAGGCCAAGCTGGAGCATCACCACCGGCAGAGCAATAACAATCGACCCACGGTGAATCCGAGTTCCGAATCGAAGCTGCGATCTCCAGCCGGCGAAAGTGAAAGGCTGATGACACCTGCCGGCACTTCCCCATCCCCATCCACATCCATTTCCACATCGCCATCCCCAGCTCAAGCCAGTATCCAAACTCAAACGAGTCAGCAGGAGAGGCTGGGCAAGCCGAGTCCCACGACATCCCAGCAGGATGTCGATGAGGTGGCCCGCCTGTTTGAGGAGAAGCCGGAGGCCTTCGAGAAGTGGCTCACGGAAAGGGCTCCTCCCGAGGCACTCAGCCGCCTGCAGGAGTTCATCGAGAACCGCAAGCCGCACAAGCGACCCTCGGTCACCTCCGATCTCTTCCAGCAGTGGATGGCCGCCTCGCCCACCGTGCAGCAGGTATGTAAATTAAATAAATCCTACCACAAAATCAAGGTAAACCATATTTATGTAACTTCAAAGAAAGCCTAATCTCTTTTTAGCTTAGTTTTAAAAAACCTTATATTGGTTTGGCAAGTACTTATAATAAGGGTATTTAATATTAGGTACAACAATTTTAAATGTTTCGAATGAACTATAGGATATGAGCAATTAAAAAAAAGAGTATTTAATTAATACCACGAAAGTATCAAAATAAAACGTATGTGACTTAAAAATGTCTTTAGGCTACAGTTTTAGACAATTCGGTATAGAAATTAAACTGAAAGGTAGAGGTGCTATGTTATTTAGTATTGAATTAATATTTATCCCTTAATACTGTCTGTAGTTCATTAGATTATTTGATTATTTATTTATTAAATTAATACCTATGCTTTACTAGTGACTGGAGTATATTTTCAAGACAAAATTTGGTTGTTTTCAGTAATTCGCTTTTGCAAACTAACATGTATAATATTTTACTCAATCCCGAAAATGCAATGCAAGCATATAGGTTAGTTAAACTAAAATCGTCTTTAAGTGGTTTTAATTCAGTGCCACGACAAAAGTTTTTCCTACGAAACTGTACTCTTGCAAAAAGCTGGAAACTTTGATAGAAATTGTTTCAGCAATTGCCGTTGCGCAAATTAGTTTTTGTAGCCAAGGCGTCATTATATTATTTCGAACTAGGTGTGATGTTCTACCTACACCACCATCCAATCTATTCCAGCCTGGCTAGTGGTTTTCCCGCCTGCACCCCGAAATTCTCAGCGAAACGAATGAAAGTGCAAATGCAGTTGGCAAGTGGCAGTGGAAATTGCACTGGTCCCCAGCACTTAGCCATCATCCTTTCACATAGTCAGTGCTTTATTTGCCAAACCTCCTGCCACTGTTTGAGCTGGTATTTGTCTTTGCCCCTCTTTGTTTTCCCCTGTTTTGTTGTACTTTTAGCACTGCTGCTGCGCGCTGGATTTCCGCTTTTATTTAACTTTGCTCGCCTTCTCGCCGAGCGAATTAACTAAATTGATATTTTCACAAATTTCCTTTGACTTGTGCTTGTCTGTTGTTGTCTGGCTGCGTGTGAAGTTCGCTAATTGGAAAAACTCACACAGCCACAGAGATTCAGAAAGGCATTTAAGCCACCGTGTTTTCTCCCACTTTTATTTAGTTCAGGCAGTAAAAAGGAAATTACTCCATTCCAACACCCCACCAATCGACAGCCAAAAAGCTTGCTTTATATATTTATTGGTTATTTATTGAGCTTCTCCGCCTGCAGGTTTTTAAATCGTTACCTCACGTTGGCGTGAAGTATTTTTCAATTAATATTTATTTGATATTTTCAGAAACCCCCCGCAATAAAAAAAAAGCATAAAATAAAATGCGGGGGAATAAATTGTACCTGACCTTTTGTCGCCGAGAAATGGTCGTTTCGCAAAATGAGTTTCGTGTGTGGGATTTTATTGGTATTTATTAAAAAATGTATTTTTAATTATTTTGTCCTGATTTAATTCGATTGCCAATATATGACATTTGGACGTATAAAAACAAACCATTTATTATGAATTTCTACTTTTAAAGTAATATAAATTACCAATGCAAGCAAATTTGTCAAGCTCTACTGAATTTCTCGACGTTTATTTATTTATTTGTCTTTTTGATTGCTCACAATAATAACTGCTTGAATTCGAGGACTCAATTTAACTCCTTTGACCCACTCGATGTAAACTGCCATCGAGATTCACTTGTGCAATGAGTATCTCGAATATGTACTTTTCCGAAATGTTAGATCACAACTTGAACTGCTCTTTGACTGCAATTGGTTAGGCAAAAACAGAAAAATATCAAAACAAGAAGTGCGCTTCAGTCGCACATGGAAATCGGCACTCACCTGGGCACTTGTGAATCAGAACTAAAAGTCAGTGGAAAATTCTTTCAGCCAGAGCTTCTCTGTGTGTGTGTGTGTGCAAAAGGAAGGAAAATGGGGAAAAACTAGGCCACTGTCCTGGGTAAAACAAACAGCAGTCAGTCTCTGAGACCTTTCAGCAATTGCCTGGCTTAGTGAGTGCAATTTTTTTCCAGCAGGTGAACAGCACGTTTGTATGTCCCCCACTTTTGTTGTCGATATTGTCAATTTATTTAAGTGCATGTTACGCAATGCAAACTGCAATCGCCGTTCAGGGTATTGGCAGTTCTTAGCCCCAGTTGTTTATCCGCATTTATATAGATATATGTTGTAGCAATGAAATTTGCATGGCATGCAGGACGCTTTTCCCATTAAGAGTCATTTCGTTTTCATGTTTTCACTTTCCTCTTGCTCAAAGCAAAAAAAAAGAACAATAATAAAAACAGCACAAGTGCTCAACATCGTTTGTTGATTTTATTGTTCTTTTCAGGGGAGCGGAACAACCAATGCCACTGGCTGAAGTTCAAATTTACTTAACGCTCTGGCTGGCTTGGCTTTGTTTTCATTTCCCTTTATTTGTCTGCATTTTATTTAATGAATTTGCATTGTTCCCACCCGAACACAAATAAAACTGTTTTTCTAACTTTTCGCTCGATCCAAACAAGACGGAGATTATTTGAGCTCTGTTCGTTGAGAAGTATTTTTGACAGCTTTTTATTTTCTCTGCAGACTGCTAAGACGAGTTTTAATGACATTTAATTGCTTAATTTATTTTCCTTTTATCACAAAAAAAGAGGGCACTTTATGAGCGACGACACAGAAGGCTATTAAAATAAATCGATCTGAAACAATGACATTTTTATTCTAGCTCACAGCAATTTTAAAGAAACTTTTGAACAGTCATTATTTTAAGTTTAAAAATATTTCAAATAATAATACGTACATATGTAAGAAATAAAAGCACAACAGTTTTAGGCCTTAACTAAAACCAATTTGATTGAACCCACAGTTGACTAGTTGTATAAACAACTATGCTAGCTATAAAAAGAAAACAAAATATAAAAGTACAAGTATTATACTTATTTTTGCACACATTGTAATTATTGAAATTTCTGTTCCTTTGCCACATGGTAATGTTGATGCAGGAAAGGGCAGCTCCAGCCCAGTAAATTGCTTTAATTTGTCAGTAAAATTGATAGCGGTGTGGGCGGCAGGACTTTTGGAATGGGATGGCCTGTTTGCTGGTCCAGGATGGGGACAAGGCACGCAACATAGCCAGCTCCCGGCTCGGTTAATTGGCCACTCGCACGCACAGGTCGGGATCGGGGATTCAAGGCCAGAGGCCTTTTTCGGTATTCAATTACCACATTGCCTCCGGAATAGGAGTCGTGGAACTGGGGAGCCGCTTAAAGGCACAACTGCCAACTGCTGCTAATAGTCACCCTTTGAACCGGACCCAGTTAATTTCCAAAGAAATTGGAGGCAAAGTTAAACGGCCTGAAATCGAAAACAGAAATAATGGAACGTGAGTAGAGACAATGGCCGTTATTGCCTTAAATGCGCTGTTTAATATTTAAAATGCTCGCTCGTCCTGCCGAATAATAATACCAGTTAATACAGCTATTTATATGGGAACTAATTACAAAACGGAATTATTTAGCTTTCTCGTGCCAAGCAACAGAATTCCATTACTGTCCAGTTCTAGCTCTGGTCAAGAAAATGTAGAAGACATTTTTAGAAAAATGTCAATTACAAGTTTTTTTAAATATATAATTCTTTATAAAATTAAGAACATTTTTAAGTCGCTAAGCAACATGTACAAAATAATGTTTCTGATAAATAATTTTACAAATACAACACATATGTATTACATTTAAGTTGATATTAAATGTAATATTAGAGAATCCAAAACTTTTTAAACAAAATGCATTCGTTTGATGTAAAAAAATATTTGTTCAAATAGTGGCTCAGAGATTATAGGTAAAGTAATTATGTAAAAACAGAAAACCCTTCCGAAGAACTATTTAAATAGTAAATCATGCTCAATTACTTACAGTTTAAGTAAGACCTCAAATCTAACACAATCTAAGCCTGCTATTAACCTTTATGGTGTGTGCTTTCTCCTTTCTCCTTTCTCCCCCACTTTACCGGTCAGAAATCGCCGAGGAGTCTGTCGAACTCTTCGGCATCGTCGCTTCCCGAGAGCCGGAGGCATTTGATGGACTTGGACGAGGGCGAGCTGTTCATGGAACTGATTCGCGACGTGGCCAACGAGCTGGACATCGATGTGCTGTGCCACAAGATTCTGGTCAATGTTGGGCTGCTCACCCACGCGGATCGCGGCTCACTCTTTTTGGCCAAGGGTACGCCCACCAACAAGTATCTGGTGGCCAAGCTTTTCGATGTTACACAAAAGACAGGTGAGTGTGCTGCCCACTATAATGGAAATGCAAAATTTCCACTGCCACTATTCTCGTTCACTCACGTAGGTGTAGTGAATGTGGGCGAGATCCTTGTGGCATTGGTAATTCCGCTTTAATTAAGGTGAACAATGCACAAACGAACTACTACTATACAATGGCTGAAGGAAGTAAAAATGAATGAAAAATGGGAAAAAAGGATATGTAAGCCAAGTCAAGTGCTCAGGGATAATGAAATGATTCTGTTGAAAGCCCGACGGATTGGGAAAACTGTAATAAGAAGCTCGAAATAGGCAAAAGCAATCAAGATGGATGTAAACATAAATACATTGAGGACATTTTTGCATTTTAATAGGATGTTTTGGTTTTTGTAATGTTTCTAGCACATGCTATACATTTTTTGGTCATATTGAAAAGAGTTTATTTAGATAATACAATAATATACCTATATACGTTTCTTGATAAGGTTCTCAACTTTTTAAGCCTTAAATTAGAGCTCTAAAAACTTTCTTGAACTCAATATATTACAGTTTCCCTAAAGTTCACCCCTTTAATCTGTTTAAAAAAAGGTTAATGGTTTTGTGAAAGGTCCAACCCATTGGACATAAACAAATTGGCACTCATTAGCGGAAGAGCAAATAATTCGAGGACTGGCCAAAAGGGGCGGTGGACACATTAGCGAAATTAAGCTTAAACGGAAGGGGGCATTAAAAGTTTTCGTCAGAACCGGCTGGTACCCTACAAAACTGAAAAGGCCCTCTTGAAATGTGAAATAGCATCCATTTCGGAGAACGTGCTCCCGCAGGTTCCGCCCACAAACAAACAGCCAAACGTATTCATACAGAAGTGCGTTACATTCGTAATGAATCTTTGGTGCAGATCCGTGAGTAAAAGCCACCGCTTCCGCTACATAATTCAGTGGGGAAAATGCGAGAAAGATTAGAGCTGCGAAGCGGCTGGTGGAAGCCGGGTGGCTCAGACACAGATATATCTACGGTTTCGGTTTCGGTTTCGGATACGGATATGGATACATGTGAGCTGCTGTGTGGGGCACTGAGATTATGATTGAGGCGGGACCGGCGAGCTCATGCAAATTCACATTTGACTTCTTGCCCTCGGATTTCGGGTGCCTTGCCATTATTTATTTATATATTATTCTCCCTTTTTTTTGGGTGCCTGTGCCTCTGCCTCTGTGAGGGCTGTGTTCTTGTATCTTTTGCATGGCAGAGTGAATATTTTGCCTATAAATTTAATATGTGTTCGGATGCACGACGGGCTTTATCTGCCGCCTAATACGCTTTGCAACGGTTGAACTAATTCTTAAGCAGTTTTTAGGAAAAAGGTTCAACGTGTTTAAATTTCAATTGTAGCGGTATTGCCAATTAATAAAATGGCTGGTCAATAATGTTGTTTACTTCCCTTTTAATATTATTAGAATGATTTACCATTAACTAATGGCTATTTACAAGTTTTTATTCATAAATGCTGAGTAAAATTTGTAGTTAAAAACCAATTGTTATTTATTGTCATTTACTTTTGCGTACAAATTAATAAAAAGTCACTAAAGAACTAACATAGTCTCAAAGTGAAAAATTTGACATTATCGTAATTGCAATTTAAAAAATGCTGAGTCTTGAGTTAAGTGGTGAATAAGCAGAATAAAGCAATCTTAATTCAAGCATTTTATTCATGCTTTTTGATAGCTTTCTTGGCCCCACGTTTTCCTCTTGATTGAGTCGAATTTGAATCTCGTTTGATTGCAGCACTCAAGGACGCGGTGACTCGGGCCAGTGCCGAGGAGATTATCATTCCCTTCGGAATCGGAATCGCAGGAATGGTGGCGCAGACAAAGCAGATGATTAACATCAAGGAGGCCTACAAGGATGCGAGATTCAACTGCGAAATCGATCTGAAGACCGGCTACAAGACGAACGCCATCCTCTGCATGCCCATTTGCAATTACGAGGGCGACATTATAGGCGTGGCGCAAATTATCAACAAGACGAATGGTATATGTTAATAAGAACGCCATCTTTAGCTAATATTTATTTACATATTTATCTTTGTTTGTCTTAATTAAGGCTGCATGGAGTTCGATGAGCACGACGTGGAAATCTTCCGTCGCTATCTGACCTTTTGCGGGATTGGCATCCAGAATGCCCAGCTCTTCGAGATGTCCGTCCAGGAATACCGGCGCAATCAAATCCTCCTCAATCTGGCCCGCAGCATCTTCGAGGAGCAGAACAACCTTGAGTGCCTTGTCACCAAAATTATGACGGAGGCCCGCGAACTCCTCAAGTGTGAACGGTGCTCGGTATTTCTGGTGGACCTCGACTGTTGTGAGGCGGTAAGAAAACTATCTAAATATTTCAATTTTATAAAACGCACGGACTGAAAATTCACAATTCACATCCTTGTGCAAAGTTTTCAAAGGGAGTCAAAAAACTCTTTTAATTGCTAGCATCCTTTTTACTTCCGCTACTTTGTTAGCAATCACCTTAAAACAAGATTTACACAGTGATTGGATTTCAAGCATCGGCTAAGGTTTATATAGATATAAAAGTCGATGAAGGTAAACACTCAAAGAAAAAAGTAGAATATTTAACTCAAATCAAACCAAGGGTGTCAAAAGTTCAAACGTACAAATTTTGAACAGTACAAGAAATTGAAATTAAGCACGAATTTCTACCAATTTCTGAATTAAAGAACTGATTTTCTTAATCCAAAACCCTTAAAGTTCTGAAAATGAATTAAGAATGAAAAAGGATTTAATTGATAACTCTTGCGAATGTTTCATATTAAATTTAAATGCAATTAGACTGAATCTCAAAAAACTTTTTTTTAATGTTCGTTCTTAAAATTCAAATTTTTTTAATTACATACTACATTTCTTATTCAAATAGATAAAATGGTAAAACACTTTGATTTTAATTGCACATCCAGGGGCGGATCTGGGTGTATGTTTATTGAAAATGTTAAACGATTCATAAAGATTATCGTAAGTAAGTAAGTGAGAACTTGAATAACATATAATTTGTAAGATACTTTTGAACAATCAGGGGCGAATCTAGGCACAATTATTTTATTTAACAGGAGGTCGGAGGCGTTGAGTCCCCTAATGCTGTGAACCTTGATCTACATCAAGTCGAGTTAGTACAAGCTAAACCGATAACGACAGCTCTTCTGAAAACCTGAACTGTAATTACAATATTCATCGTCTTAATTGGTGTCGCGTGCACTTTAGCTACAATTTAACGACAAAGCAACGACTTTTTTATGACGCACAATTTTTAAATAGAGAAAAAGTTCGTATTGCCAATATCTACTCAGATATTAATTATTTTACACCGCCCTTTTTATACCCTTGCTGTGGGTATTATGAAACTTTCCCATAAGTTGTCTATCTATCGCAGGTGGGATTTAAGTCGGAACCAGCCGGATCGGACGACTATAGCATATAACTCCCATAGGAATAATCGAAAAAAATTATATCTTTGCATTTTTTTTATTTTTTTATTTAGTTCGTCGATTGGCTAAGTGGGAGTGAGGGCAAATTGTCGCCTCAAAACGGCGCCTGAGTAAAAAGTAACATCCTGCGGTTTCTGCGGTCACTCTGCTATATCCTCCGTATCCTTGCTCTTGTGGCTGTCAGTTTCATTTAAATTGTTTAAACGCCACCGCGTCGGCCATTTTGTTTGTGTGTCTGTCAACCCAAAGGAAATTAAAATGTGCAATTTACATTATGTTTCTCTGGGACAAGACTGTGGGCGTTTCCACGTGGCGGGAATTCGGCAATGAACAAGTGTCAGGCATTGCGTGGAATTCTGACAGCTAGGTGGTGAAGGTCCCAGAGGGAATGGGTCAAATTATGTCCGACTCTGAGAAATTTTCATTTGGACTCTAGTTTCGCTGATTGCCTGTCATTATCTTGGGGCTGCTGGCTCTTCTCAGCCGCCTTAAACTTAAAACAGGTTGCAAATAGACTGATTAAGACAATAAATTATAAGGAAATGCGTCAATTGATCAGATCTACACCCAGACAAAAACACCATAGTAAAATTAAACATTAAAATAATTGCATACAACATTGTTTTTCAAAATATAACCTTACTTAACTAAAAACATGATCATGTAATTACTAACATATTTAATTGGTTTATCCAGTAGAGAAATTGTAGATTTCAATTTTGTTTTATTTGAAACTACATTTTTTCATACTTAAAAATAAATTGAATTAAACACAACGACCCTCGGGGGTACCGAAAATATTTAATTCAATGTGAAAATATGTGGATTTACCATTATTTTTTCGTATTGATTTCAGTCATTAGCTTGGTTGATTACATAAATTATCACACAATGTAAGCTATTATATAATTTATTGAGTGCGATTTAATTGCAATACATTTAACCAAAGAGTTGTTGGTATACGCAAATGTTTAATAAACAACTACTCGGGTATTTGTAGAGAAAAAAAGCAGGGAAATGAATGCAATTGGAATTTGATGGGAAAAAAGCATTATTAAATTAATCGAACAATATTTGCTCAACTTCATTCAAGGAAACTTAAAAAAATTATTTATTAGCAAGAATATGTAACAGAAGCTAAGTAATTTCCGGACAATGAAGAAACGTACAATTGTTTTTAGTTTACCACCTTGGCCCCCAGGGTGCATAAATAATGCCAGACGATATTGTCCCAGGAATTACGCATTAAAATTGTAAACGTATTTGCCCGTAAGAGGAGTAAGACAGATGTCCTGGCCTCTGGCCTTTATAGGTATGTATGTAAGACATTTTGCCTGGCCAATTTGATGAATGCATATCGTTAAATTATTGCATGCTGCATTAATTTATAGCCAGTGGTAAAGAATAGCAGGTCGTCAATATCCAAAACAAGTGACCGTTATATATATGAACTAAACAAAAGCCTTTCATTTCGAACGGAAATTGTTATTAATTTGATACAAGCTGGACAGTGCATTTTGCCAAATTAAATGCTGTTGACTACGATGATTGTTTATTCGGGAAATTGCCAGGGCCAAATTAGCCATTATCTGCTGCCAACTGATTATGCAAATGCATGTCAGTGTAATGGCCAATTTATTAGCCCATAAAGTCCAACTGTCCCAAAGGGGCAGGGCCAGCCGGGCTGCCCCGGACGGACTCTGAAAACTTGGCTGACATGCCCGTCATGTGCAACATGTCAGCTTAATTATGCTGGGGAGGGAGTGTGAGCCGGGAGGTTTAGCTTGCTTGTCTGCGGACAACTGCATCATTGCGGGAAAATGGGTTAAATAAGTTTCAAAGTAAAAAAAAGAAAAAAGTGCAATAAACCTTTAAATACATAGTTTATTTGTCGATTGAATGTTCAGTTTTCTGGTCTTAATATCTAAATAGAAAAACATTGTTTTACCACAAGCCCGTTTACCGTGAAATGTATATTGCAAACTCAAAATCATCAGAAATTAGTTTTCCTTACCTATATATTTTACAGTACAACTACTGAAGAAAACGAGGCATTTAAAGAAAATAAGGACATAGAGGAGAAATCATATTTTCAGTCATTAATAATTTAACTATGCATTCCTTCTTAAATGAAATTAGGAAAACACTTATAATTTATATAATAAATGTATAATTATATAACATTTTTTTAAGGAAAGTCAACTTAATCTTGTTGATTTTAAATATGAATTATTTGATAAGGTTACATTAATTTTCCAAGTGTTGGGGGCGGGAGTGCGGCGGTGCAATGCAATTTATCAACAAGCTGGAGGCTTCGGGGAAAGCCGTTACGAACTCCATTAGTGGCAGCCACTTAATGACCCCTCTGCTTTTCTTCCTCCCTTCTCACCGCAGAGCCATTTGGAGAAGATAATTGAGAAGCCCAATCAACCAGCCACCCGCGCCATAAAGTCCGCCGATAGTTTCGAGGAGAAGGTAAGTCCACCTGGCGTTCTGATTCGTTTCCATGCCATTGATTTTGATATTTTTGAATCCCCCTCAACTGATCCGACAGAAAATGCGCAACCGTTTCACTGTGCTTTTCGAACTTGGTGGGGAATATCAGGCTGCCAACGTTTCGAGACCTTCTATCACTGAATTGAGCACCTCGACGCTGGCCCAAATCGCCCAGTTTGTGGCCACCACCGGGCAAACAGTTAACATCTGCGATGTCCACGAGTGGGTCAGAGATCACAACCAGATTCGGGCCGAGGACGAAATCGACAGCACCCAGGCCATCCTCTGCATGCCAATCATGAATGCCCAAAAGAAGGTCATTGGCGTGGCCCAACTTATCAACAAGGTACACAATAATTTACTTTAGTTAGAGGAATAAAGAGAAATAAAAAGCAAATGCATTATTTCATCAAACTAAAAAACAGGCTAATGGCGTGCCCTTTACCGAATCGGATGCCTCCATTTTCGAGGCGTTTGCCATCTTCTGCGGCCTGGGCATTCACAACACCCAGATGTACGAGAACGCCTGCAAGCTGATGGCCAAGCAGAAGGTGGCCCTCGAGTGCCTCAGTTACCATGCCACCGCCAGCCAGGATCAGACGGAGAAGCTCACCCAGGACGCGATTGCCGAGGCGGAGTCCTACAATCTGTACAGCTTCACCTTTACTGGTAACTATTACGGTTCTAACTTGGTCACCATATCAGTTATGGAATAACAAAAAAGCATCGATAAATTTAAATTCGTTTTATTCCAGACTTTGAACTGGTCGATGATGACACTTGTCGCGCAGTGCTGCGAATGTTTATGCAGTGCAATCTGGTCTCGCAGTTTCAAATACCTTATGATGTAAGTTAATGATATTAAAGAAAACTATTCTTGTGAAAGTAAAGATACTTTTAATTAATTAATTTCTCAATTTACTCAATCTGGTACTAAAAAATAATTGAATATAAATATATTCCCGTTTACAATAATCACTTTTTAGGTCCTCTGCCGTTGGGTTTTGAGTGTCCGGAAGAACTATCGCCCCGTAAAATATCACAATTGGCGGCATGCTCTTAACGTGGCCCAGACAATGTTTGCCATGCTGAAAACTGGCAAGATGGAGCGTTTTATGACAGACCTCGAGATCCTGGGCCTGCTGGTGGCCTGTTTGTGCCATGACTTGGATCACCGTGGCACGAACAATGCATTCCAGACCAAAACGGAATCTCCGCTGGCCATTTTGTACACTACTAGCACGATGGAGCACCACCACTTCGATCAGTGCGTCATGATCCTAAACTCGGAGGGAAATAATATTTTTCAGGTAAGAAAACTAAAATAATTTTTTATAATTTGTAAAGGGAAGGATAATCAGAAAAATAGCATTTAATATATTTTTTAATTAATATTATTTTTCAAGTATTTAATCATAGAGAGATTATACTTTTCTAACAGCTTAGTCAATCTTAAGAAACATGGCCCCAAAAAGTTTATAAACCATATTATGTTTTAGCTATTACTCTCAACATTTTATTTTTAAAATTTCAACTTGGCTTTGTCTAACCGCGAACCACGCGGATATTGCGGTTCTTGGACTTATTGTTAAGTTTTCGGTTGGCATTAGCTTTCTTGGATTTCTTGGCGGCATTCAAGCGGGCCTTGCGGGCCTTGGCACGGGCACTTTTGGATTTGGTCGAGGAACTGGTTGTGGATCCGATCTTGATCTTCCTGGTCACCGAGTACTTCAGATTGCTAAGACGGACGATTTTCCTATTAACATCCGAGGAAGATGACGTGGATGCAGTGGTCGATTCCGTGGTGGTGCTAGCCGTTGTACTTGTGGTGTCACTTGTTTCTGTGGTGGTGGTGGTATCAGCAGCCCTTACTTGGGCCACATACACAACCATCGAAAGGACGAAGAGAACGAGGGACAACTTCATGTTGGATGCTTCAATTTTTGACTGATATGCCTTCTGCTGGGAAAGTCGCACTTTTATAGTATATCCATGATTGGCTGGCGACCTTCAAATGGCCAAAATTTGTGTCTACCAAAATAATTCAGAATAGAGTCCACCTTGACTCCGATAAGTGGTGAACTTTTGTTTAAGCACATGTCTGGTTTTGAGGTGACGTCACCTGTACCAGGTGTTTTTGGGACGGCATTTTAAGAATAGAATTGTTAATCTTAGCTATTTGGCGAAATTGACTAACCGGAAACATTGTGTTTGCTTTATTTTTTAGGCCCTGTCACCCGAGGACTATCGTTCGGTCATGAAGACCGTGGAAAGCGCCATCCTGTCCACCGACTTGGCCATGTATTTCAAGAAGCGAAATGCTTTCCTTGAGTTGGTCGAAAATGGCGAATTTGATTGGCAGGGCGAGGAGAAGAAGGATCGTGAGTCAAAAATACCCTCTAAATTTTATATATAAAGGTTTTATTTTATACATTATATTTTTATATTTATAGTTTTTGTTACATAATTAAAGTATATTTTTGCCATATATATTAAAATAACTATTTATTTTAGTGCTCTGTGGCATGATGATGACTGCCTGCGATGTGAGTGCCATTGCCAAACCCTGGGAAGTGCAGCACAAAGTGGCCAAGTTGGTGGCCGATGAGTTCTTTGACCAAGGAGATCTGGAAAAGCTGCAGCTCAACACACAACCAGTGGCCATGATGGATAGGTACCAAAGCTATGAGTCGATCTTAAACAGTTATATTATAAATACAAATTGTAATTCCATTTAGGGAGCGCAAGGACGAGCTGCCCAAGATGCAGGTGGGTTTCATCGACGTGATCTGCCTGCCACTTTATAGGGTGCTCTGCGACACCTTCCCCTGGATCACTCCCCTGTATGAGGGCACCCTGGAGAACCGTCGCAACTGGCAAGATCTGGCCGAGAAGGTGGAGATGGGCCTCACCTGGATCGATCACGATACGATTGACAAGCCCGTGGAGGAGTTCGCCGCCTGTGCGGATGAGGAGATCAAGGACATCGAGTTCACGGTGACCACTCTCAATTGCAATCAGCAATCGCAGCACGGCAGCGAGGATAGCCATACCCCGGAGCACCAGCGAAGTGGCTCCAGATTGAGCATGAAGAAGACAGGAGCCCTGGGCAAGGCGGTGCGTTCCAAGCTGTCGAAGACCCTCTACAACAGCATGGATGGTTCGAAGCCAAAGACCTCCCTAAAGCTGCTGGAGTCCCACGTCAGCGAGGACATGGACGACAAGAGCCCCACGAGTCCCTCGCAACCGCAGGCATCCGGCAGCATGGGCCGCATGTCCGCCTCGTCCTCCACCTCGTCGGCCGGCGGTCAGATGGCGGACAAGTCCAAAAAGCGCTCCAAACTGTGCGCGCTGTTATGACGAAAGCCGTCCAATTAGAATATGACGACTCCCTCCAGCACGTCGGCCAGTGAGACTGACCACAAGTGCGGAGGGGGGCTGACCGAGTTCTAATTGGACATTTGCGGTTCGAGAAATTCACTAAAACTTGTTGCTCTACCTGTATCTACTACAGTATGACGTACTCCATTTCGATTAAATTTAAATACGATTCGAATGATGAAGCAATGCTTTGCAACATTTAAGCATTATAGCAATAACAAGTTTTTTTTATGAGCCATAGGAAAATTCGAAAAAAGATGTTTGCTTTTTGAAAATAGTTTTCATTTTTTCTGAAAGTCTTTATTTTTAAATTTGTATATATTAAATAATTTATGAAATTTATTTCTGTAAGACCTTTTTTTGAACATCCTTTTCATAGTATAAGAAAAGTGTTATTTCATCAAACAAGAATCCACCCAAATTTAATCGAAATCGAATTCGAAAACCAGGAGAATATGTACATGTTTGATATATGTTTTAAGTTCTATAACTATCCATATACAAGCGAATGAGCATTGGGCAGAAGCAAATGCAGTTGCAATATTAAACATAAGTGAATGTCAAAATATGTGATCTATTTAAGGTCCCGAAGGTGCGAAGCCCCCGGGTTGAACCTTTTGTCGGATGCTATCCCCTCTCTCTAACTATCTGTCTATCGCTTTTAGGTGATTGAAAACCGCGAAACTAAACTAAATAAGTAGTTCCAACCAACTAGTTACCCTAACCAAATCGTGCTAGTCAAACGTATGAGATACTATGTGAAGCAACCTAGTTAAGAATTTGTGAGGCTATATTCCAGGCAACGGGCTTTGGGAGTCGAATAGGGATCACCACTAGTCCTCGCCTGTGATCGGCTTGAAATCTACTTTATAGCTAATTGATATTTGTATGCACAGACGTGTGTATTTACCTAGCAAACTATAGCAATATTATATGATATTCCCCACACATCCCACACGATTGTGAGCACAGCACAAATATAGAGAAATCGAACTACTCTAAAACAGAAGTGAGCAATTGAAGATGAATGAATTATACCTGTCGTACTATGTTTGTATGTTTAATTGTATAAATATAAATATTAGCTTAATGATAGACATCAGTCAATTTTTGAACTCGAACTCAAACAAAAACGAATACGATAAATATTTAGCATATATTGAATCGCACTCGGCAAATACGAATAGTCCGGACCCACACACTTCTAGTTGTTGCAATGAAGTTTACTTTATCTGTGTGTACGTGTACAAAGCAAACTATAAACTATAGAGCATAAATATAAAGTAAATATATAATTATATACGGAATCTATATGAAATATTTACATGTGACTAATGTAACTAAAACTGAATTGCTTAGAATTAACGTGTTTAAGGGCATTTCATTTATTTTTTCCATTGGTCTGCGTGTGCTAATCAAATTTGGCTATAAGATTATTAACAAAGATAAACGTTCAAAACTATTTTTCTAGTTACTCTGCCGCTCGCTTGAAAATCAAAATCCAGATAACTTTATGAGCCGATTTACGCATTTCTCTGGGTTTAGTTGTGACAATTAATTGTGTATATTTCTCCCGATAGTTTCGTTGCTTGTTTCTGTTCACCAACGATCCAAGAATTATTCACATTTGTTTACCTAATTATGTAAGACTTGCAATTAAATCAAAAATAAATCACACCATTGAGAATTACTCTAAAATATGATTTTATATTTTGTTGGATGCTTTGCTTGGGACGGTAAATATATGCTGAAATAATAACTATTTTGTAAATAGTTTGTATGTATGTTTGTTTAATTGACCCATTATTTAAATTTATAAATATTCTTTTAATATTTGAACCAAGCACAAATTTATTTCACTATTATAAGTATATGCTTTAATTCAAACATGTTTTTGTTCTTAAAGATTATTTTCTTTAAATTAAACTGTAAAATCATAAACCCAATTTGGGGGGTAAGAAATTCAGTTTTGACTAACGGACAACGATAAGCAGTGCGTCACTGTATACTTTTCCAGTAAGCAGTGGAAATTTGAAAATTTTCCAGTAAGCAGTGTTCTGCTCGACAATCTGGCTAGAGATGGATAAACATCGATAGCCCTGCCAAACTTCGATTTTTCTTTACCTCTAGTCAGCTGTTGTTATCAAAACAACAAAAAACACGTGAAATTATTAAAAAGTAAATAAATACAATTTTGAAAGGAATTTAAGGCGGATATGTCCTCCCCCAGTGAATCTTCAGCAGCTTCAGAGCACGAGGCATCCAGTGAAGACGAAACTCAGGTAAGAGATATCCAATTAAGTACGAAATTTTTCGAGAACATTTCGAGAACATTTTTTCCAGAATGCCATTCGTGATGATCTCAAGGGAATGTCTTTCGAAGAGATAATGAAACTCAAAGAAGAACTAGGCGCCAAGGTTTACAAAGAGGCCGTTCTTGGGGGCAAAAGTTCAAGACCCCAGAAACCCAAAGCCAAAACTGACCTCAAACGCCTGAATAAAAACCGACCCCGTGAAATGAGCACCAGGCGACAGGTTCCATTTTTGGGGGCAGAGCATCGAGTGGAGAAGAAAAACGCTTTTGAACTTCGTGATCCTAGATTCGATGAGAAATCGGGAACTTATAATGCTGAAACCTTTAAGAAAAACTACAAGTTTGTCTCCCAAATTCGTGCGAAGGAAGTTGGTCAGCTGAAAAAGCAATTGGACGAGGTTGACGATGATCAGGAAAAACACCAGATAAAGGACACCATGCAACGGCTGATCAACAAGAATGTGGAGGACAAGAGGTGGCACACCAAACAGAAGCAACTCAAAAAGGAGCGCTCTGGCATTCAGAAAAAACACAACCTGGGACAACAGCCTCACTATCTTACAAAGAGTAAGTTTCTAAATGTTTTTGTTTGGAAGACCATATTGTTTTATACATATCAAATTGTCCACTATTTGGTTTTCATAACATAAGTCGGTTTATCCTTAGCAGATGTTAGGCTTAAAATTCTTCAAATTAAACACAAGCTCTAATTTTATTGTATCTGCGTTTTCAGAGGAGCGTCGTGCCAAGGAGCTGGTAGCGCAATTCGAAAAACTAAAAAATACCGGAAAACTTAATAAACACCTGGAAAAGAGACGCAAGAAGAATGCCGCCAAGGACCGTAAACGCATTGGCATAGAATAAGATCTTCGTTTTAGATATAAATGTATTTTTAACAATTAAAGACAAAGTGCTAATTATCAAACTTAGCCCGTTCGCAACATCTTGGCCTCTCGCTTCTCCTGCAATTCCCGTCTTTGCTGTTCCACAATAGTTTTGCGCTCCTCCAGGAACTCGCCATAGGACGCTGGATCTATTTCCTTGACCACCTTGATGCCACAGGTCCGGGCAATGCTGATGAGCATCTCACACATTTGCTAAAAACAGGAATATATTTTGTTAAAAATGTGTTACAGAATATTAAATCAACTGGAAAAGTTCTTGGTAATATTTTAGTACTTATTTAGATAGTTTTCAAGTAATTATTTTAAGTTTTTCAAGACTTACCTGCATGGTGAGTAGGGCGTTGGGCGGATCCTGAATCTTGATCGCTGCAATTTCGTACAAATGCTTGAGCGTGATCATCCCAGCGACTTCCTTGCCAGGAGTCATGGTGCCCCTTTGAATTCCCGCCGCCTGTTTCAGAAAAAAAGTGGCCGGCGGATGGTGGATTACCAATTCGTAGCTGCGATCGCTGTTCACGGAAATCCGGCAAGGCAATGGCACGCCCTCCTTCATTTCGCCGGTCTTGGCATTGAAGTCCTTGCAAAAGGCGGCTATGTTAATAGCTCTCTGTGTGGGTTATAAGGATATAGAGTCAAAATAATATATATATATCAGTTTTTGAGCCGGCTAAATCACCTGTCCCAACATCGGTCCCAGCGGAGGTCCAGCAGCGGCCATTCCCGCGGGTATATTCGTCTTCAGTTTGCTCGTGTGTGTCACACGATCCACTGTCTTCTTTAGGGACTTCAGTTTACCCGCCGCCTTGGACATTTTAATTGATTTATTCTAAACAAATTGGAACAACTGTTATGCAAAGCGAAATGTGTTGGTGGAAGGAAGAAGAAGAAACAGTGCAACAGCTGTCGGCAGTGCTGACAATCATTAAGTATGGGGTACTCGTTAGATAAAAATAGCTAGATTAATTTCATAATAGCTAGGATAGTTTTGTTTACTTCATTGGTTTATTGTTTTGGATTTTAGAACTTATCACAATCATTAATAAATTTCTAATTTATTTCTTATAAACATAATTGCATGACATTTTGATTTTGAAATATTATTATTGGCGTAAGTTGCTTTTAATAACAATATATTCAAAACTATATCAAACCTGTAAAACAAATTTTAAAATATATTGATTATTTAGCAAATATTTTAGAATTGCCAGAATGTTCAAAATAGCAGGCTTTTAAATTCTAATAACAATATGAAAGGAGCGGAAACTATTTAAGCCATTTTGAATGAAAGCTAAATGTTGGATAGCCAAATTATCGTGAAAAAAGCCGAACAGCCACCCCTAATGCAAGAAAGAAGCAGCGCGGCCAAACAGCTGTTTGCACTGCCTATCGCTTATCGATAGTCGTGGGTGACGCAGCAGGCAGCTTTTGTGGCAGTGTGCCAAATTGAAATCAGCTGCCAGCTGAGAAGTGAGAAATTAAATAACAATAACAAACGCGGGAATAATCACAGAAACTGATGGCTTTGCGCGGTTCCCTGCGCCTGGAAATGTTCCTCAGACGCTGCACTGCATCCTCCGTGTTCCACAGCCACGCCCAGAATCGAAAGAGCAGCCAGATATCGGTTAAATGCAACGATCCAAACAGCAATGGCTACAGTGGGCAGGATCGGCAAGATGACGGGCAAAAAGAGAGTGGATGGCGGAGATTGGTGCGCTTCTTTGTTCCCTTTTCCCTGGGCGCAGTGGTCAGTGCGATGGTTATCAAGCGGGAGGACCTTACGCCCGCGATCGCCGCCTCCAAAATGAGCGGTCGTCGGCGGGAGTTCAACTTTATAGCGGATGTGGTGGCCGGCTGCGCCGATTCCGTGGTCTACATCGAGATCAAGGACACCCGCCACTTTGACTACTTTAGCGGCCAACCGATCACCGCTTCGAATGGCTCCGGTTTCATCATAGAGCAGAACGGTCTCATCCTGACCAATGCCCATGTGGTGATCAATAAGCCGCACACGATGGTTCAGGTGAGGCTGTCCGATGGCAGAACCTTTCCCGCCACCATCGAGGACGTCGATCAGACCTCCGACCTGGCCACGCTGCGTATACAGGTGAGAAGTTCGCACAGCTAATAAGGATTCCTGTTATAAATCCCCAATCCTTTCTTCCACCACGCAGGTAAACAATCTGTCGGTGATGCGACTGGGTAAGAGCAGTACTCTGCGATCCGGCGAGTGGGTGGTAGCACTGGGCAGTCCACTCGCATTGAGTAATACGGTCACCGCTGGCGTGATCAGCTCCACGCAACGGGCCTCCCAAGAACTGGGTCTTCGCAACAGGGACATCAACTACCTGCAAACCGACGCGGCCATCACGTTTGGCAATTCCGGCGGACCCTTGGTCAATCTGGATGGCGAAGCCATTGGGGTTAACTCAATGAAGGTGACGGCAGGAATCAGCTTCGCAATACCCATCGACTATGTGAAGGTGTTCCTGGAGCGGGCTGCCGAGCGGCGCAAGAAGGGCTCTGCCTACAAGACTGGCTATCCGGTGAAGCGGTACATGGGCATCACCATGCTGACGCTCACGCCCGACATCCTGTTCGAGCTGAAGTCACGCAGCCAGAACATGCCCAGCAACCTCACGCACGGAGTGCTCGTGTGGAAGGTCATCGTGGGATCACCCGCGCACAGGTTGGTCAACAACTATTATTCAGCGTGATACCAAAGCCTCCTCAAAACAAATTCTAACAGACCATACCAAACAACATATTTTTAGCAATATTATTTTTAATTTACTTAGTGAACTAATCCCTGAACCCTTTCACAACTCTTTTCCAGTGGCGGCTTGCAGCCCGGCGACATAGTGACCCACATAAACAAAAAGGAGATCAAGAACTCCTCGGATGTCTACGATGCGCTGGCGGACAATAGCAAAGACTTGGACATAGTGATCTTGAGGGGCGTGAAGCAGATGCATGTGACCATAACGCCAGAGGATCCCTAATGAAGTTTGTATCTCACGCACTTGTTAGCTTCGATCAACTACGACATTGTGATTTGCAATATATATATTTGTGAACGAAACCGATCGACCGATCCTGGGAAAAAATCGCTGACAATCCCACCACACACACGCTCCTATTCCAAATCGAGTGCCTGCCTATATTTGTCTCTGGCTAACGAGTAGGGAAATTTGCATAGATCGCGGGCTTGTTATCAGTGGCCATTATTAACAGCGACACGACCATAAGTTAATCTACGCGTCGGACGGCACAAAAATGTATCTCCGACTGGGTCGATTGGGACCTCTGTCCGTTTCCGAACATCATCGATTTCTCTTTCATGCAGCGTTGTGCGTGTCTCCGTCTACCCGTCCCGTCCGTCCGATTGTCCCCATCCAACAACGACAAAAATGTATTTACGCTAATTGAAATATCTTGCGTTGCGATCAATCGATGCTATATTTTTTAAAGGCCAAACCTCGGCCGTGGTGCTCCAACTGCTGCAACTGCTGCGGCAGCGGCCAGCAGCAACATCAGCCGCGAAAACGTCGAAAACCGAAATGCAAATTTCAATAAATTTATGCAACTGTATTCCCAGCGCTTCACTTGGCCCCAGCTGTTCATACCCTAGATTGGGGTACATTAAAAATGTTTTATAAGTTGTGCAAGCAAGAACTGAATTTTGGGTATGATTTAAATTCTACGTATTATTTTAAGACGTATTTTTTATAGGCGAATTTATAGGTGAAGCTTGTTGAAAGTATTGAAAAATGTTATAACAATCGCTTAAAAACTAAATAATCTTGTTTTCAAATAATAATAATAAAACCTGACTTAAAATATTTGTTTAACCAAACTTAATGAATGAGCTTAATGAGCTAAACTATTTTTAACCAAACTTAAATCATTTTAATTCCATAAAATACTTTTATTTTTGAAAACTTATTTTATTGAACTGAAATTATATCAGTTTATATTTATTAAAATTTCAAATTTTATTTCTTTTGTAAAATAAACAAATCGAAAGTTTTTTTTAAGACAAACCAGCTTGAATCTTTACATAAAATAAAACCGTTGTGGGAATTTTAAAAGTATCTTTGTATCTTTGTAAAAACTAGGTAGAGTAATCAATCTTCGGATCCCCAGATTCGTTTCACTTTGATTTCGGTTTGTTTGTGGGTGACAAGGCAGAGGATGTCGATGATGTTGTTGCTGCTGCTGCTGCTGTCGTTGCGTGAAAAGTGAAATTCTTGTGATTATTAATTTTGTTTTCGCTTTTGGCGATGCTACGCTTTTTTAGTTTTTGCATATAAATTCATATATTGATTCCGCCGGACTGGCCAGGCCATTGTTGTTGCCGTCGTTGTCGTTGTCGTGGTTTATGTGACAGCGGCCTTTATGACATTGTTGGCACTAAGTTACCTTTATTGCTTATAAGCCGCACGCATAAATGCAGCTTAAAGTTCATAAATTTGCCAATATTCACTCGGCGCGGGGTTAAGCAAACGGACCTCTCTTTTGCGATCGTGTAAACACTTTTTACTTTATTCGCTGGCGCCCCACGCTTTATGCACTTTCTTTCTGCCATTTCAGCCGCTTGGCGAGCATTCATTCGTTTCGATTTCGGATTTCGGATTTCAATCCGCGCCTGCACTCGGTGCGCCAGCTAATTGAAATATTTAAAATGCATAAAAGTATCGCATTTTAACTTTGCAATTAGTTTGTGGTGATCGCCGCAGTTGCTGTCGTCGTGGGTACGGATATGTATATGTTGTAGTTGCCGGTCGGCTGTGTTGTTGTGGGCCGCTTAAATTACAAACCTGTGAGAAATTTTGTCGCTGTTTTGGTTGCTTTGTGACTTAGTTGTCAGCCATACACTAGGGAAACAGATGGGCAAAACGACTACCAAGAGGTGCTGGGGAAAAAAGCTGAAGAAACTAAAGTAGGTAAGACCAAAGCATTGAAGTTTACGTATCCTTCATGATTAAAAGAAAATCATTTTTATTTCTAGAGCACAGTTGAAAAACTAAAGAAAAATAAATTTAATTAAATTCATATTTATAGCCATAGTTATCACTCAAAAATGTAAAATATACAACAATACCAACATTTCATTTTATATGATCTTGATATGATTCTTTATCCTAAAAATCGAAGACTGTATAACTAAACCAATTTAAAAGTAAAAAACAATTTGAAGACCTCCCAAAAAGTCGGCCCATTTTACAGACTGTCCGAAAAAGCCGGCATAGAGACAAATGATTAAGCATTTTCGAATATATCCAAAAGGGCATTTGAGCTCGCATTGAAACATTTTCGCAATTGGCGGACAATGTTGTGAATTAAGATCACAAAGTTGTTTTTGCGGTGAGCAGCACTTTGTGGCTGTGATCATGTTCACACGCTGCGGCAGAAAAGCTGAAAGCCTAAAGCGGTAAGTGTCGTGATTTGGCCGTGCTTGCACTTTCATAAAAGGCGGCAATTAATAATGGAGGTGGTGGTCAAAGGCCCATCAATCGAACACGTTTGACGAGGGTCATTTGGAATGTTTTTGTAAATTTTGGCACTTCGATTGAGTTGTTAAACGTGCTGTTAATTGTGCAGCCACTGACACTTTGGGTCAAATGTCTGCAAATTGTCGCATTAACCCAGAAATGTCAGACCGAAGATCTTGCACATGTAATGGTCGTCGTTTCTTTGGTTTTTGGTCTTAATTTCCTTTTGGGTGACCCCATCGGACACCTATATCAACGACTTTCTCGTGCGCTGTTCCCATGAACTGCTCACATTTAAACATATTGGCAGGCGCATTGAAAAAGTGCATGAGGCAACGACGTTGAGCGAACACCTACAACAACCGCCAACTTTTGTAATAGCAACAA